GTGGGGCGGGGCGTGGACGCGTCAAACCCGCATGCAATAGGACATGCTCTCCTTGAGGTCCCGGTCCACTGTGGGATCACTCAAGTGCAGTGCCTTGCCTCGCATCCTGTATCGTGACGATGGTGAACAGAAGGGGGTAGCTGGGACTGCCTCTGTAGGACAACCACAATTAAGTTGGCGACACCCTGAGAGAAAGGCAGGGCTTTAAAGCCATAGCTAAAGACCAGTGTGGAAACCCTTCTGCGTGCAATGGCAACAAGACCTGCAGAGTGCAAGGGCTTTCCAACACTAGAAGGATGGCAAAAGAAGGACATGTCGATCCCAGTGCAATGTTAATATAACTTGGGGTGCAACGACCAAGTCAAAGAATCACTGTTTAAGATGCGCAATCCAGACCTGTGGTGAGCTGCCATGTTTTAAAGCTGCAAGAGCTTGTACGATCATAGCCTTTTCTTGAGCACTTCGAGCCTTAACGCGACAGAGAGCCACAAACAGAGTATCACACCGAAGCAACATACTGCCCCCAAAATGCCTACTCCCACCCACTCCTTAAAAAAGGAAAAAGCAGAAGATATCCAATTAGTGAATTGACCCAAAGTCACGGGATCAACACGGGTGTTATTCAAGACAGCTATCTGAGTCAGTTGAGACTGGATCATGTCTTCCGCCGCCATGGACCAATTCCCGGCCAAATAGTCACCAATGATGTGGGAAGCATTCCTGGAATCATTAAATCACTGCATTGGTGACGTCTGTGCCATCGGCACCAGCATCAGCACCAGGGCACTCAGCAGAATGAAGATCCTCATCATGAGATTGTTGTGGTCTCTCTTGTTGCTGATTAGTAGATGTCGAGACTCTTCTTGTCAGACGTTCGGGGACCCACACCGGTTCCATTCGGTCCTGGGGGAAAACACAGACAGAGCCTCGTGCCCATGCCAGCATGGGATCAGGTCCATACCATTGACTAGAAAGTACATCTTTCCACTTAACGTGCCCAAAGTTCGGGGCAGAGGGCAAGCAGTGCCTAGTCGCAGCAGAGCACCCTTGGATGTCCAAATTTAAAAAATTAATAGTGAATAAAGCCAGGGAGAGGCGCTCTTTCGGGGAGTGGCCTAAGCCAATTCCCCCTTTTTGTTTTATTAGCATCTCCTTTAGAGTCTTATGAGCGTGCTCTACAATACCCCGACCTTGTGGATTGTAGGGCAAACCATGGACGAGCTGAATACCCATCTGGTTGCAAAAGGAAGAAAATTGTCGTCCAGTATACGCTGGACCATCGTCCGTCTTAATGGACTGTGGCAATCCCCATGCTGCCCAGGCTTGCAAGCAATGTGTGATAACATTTCCAGCCTTTTTTACCAGACAAAGCAGAAGCATGGATAATGCCAGAACAAGTATCCACAGACACATGGACATATTTAAGTTTGCCAAAGTCAGGGACATGAGTGACATCCATTTGTCATATAGTTAAAGGCCGCAAACCACGAGGATTTACACCCACAGAAGAGGGATGATGTAAAATGATACATTTAGGACAATCTAATACAATCTGTCGAGCATCAGCACGGGAGATAGTAAAGCGCTTTTGAAGTGCTCGTGTATTAATATGAAATTTACTATGAAAGTTTTTAGCTTGATCTAAGGAGGAAACAGGGAACACCCAAGAAGGACGAGTAGCAAGATCAGCTTGGACATTGCCAGCAGAAAGAGCACCCGGTAAACCTGTGTGGGCTCGAATATGCAAAGGGTAAAAGCAGGCGGAGCGATTCCAAATCAATGTTTGAAGATGGAGAAAAAGGAAAGACATCACTCCTGATGTGCGTATGGGACCCACTGCTTCCAACACCTTCAAAGCTTGAAGTACATAAACAGAATCTGAGATTAAGTTAAAAGGAAAGGGGCATTGTTCAAATACTTTTATGACAATTTGCAGCTCCACCCATTGTGGATTGCCAGGAGCAAACTGATGCTGATTAGGAGGTTGATCATTTACCACATAGGCTCCAATACCAGTTTTAGATCCATCTGTAAAGATATTGGCAGCTCCTGGGATAGGCGTAGAAGAAGTGATTTTAGGGAAAATGATAGGATGTTCCTTAACAAATGTAATAAGAGGATGTGAAGGATAGTGATTATCTATCTCTCCTGGAAAAGAGCATCGTAATATAGCCCAATTATCCAGGTTAGCACACAAAACTTGAATTTGTTGACACGTATAAGGGACAATCACAGACATTGGAGGAAAACCAAAAAATTGCATACTTTGTTGTATCCCTAACATAGCTAAAGAAGCAACTGTGTCAGGATAATACTCAAGGGATTTTCCAGGGGATATTCGTGGATGTATCCACAACAAAGGACCATCTTGCCACAAAACTCCAGTAGGTTGCCGTACAGTGGCAAGCACACATAATTGAAGAGGCTTATCCTCTTGAAGCCTGCAAAGGCTAGTGTGCTGAATAGCCTTTTCCACTTTAAGCAACGCTGACCTGGCTTCCTCAGTAAGATGTCGAGGGGAAGTAAGATCTGAGTCACCTTTAAGAATTTCATACAAGGGTTTTAATTCTACATTGGGAATATGTAAGTAGCCCCTAATCCAATTTATATCACCCAATAATTTTTGAAAGTCATTTAACGTATGCAAATTATCAGTCCTAAGAGTTATCTTTTGAAGTGTGATAGTTTTGCAAGAAATTCTAGCACCGAGATATTCAATAGAATCTCCAGTTTGCACCTTTTCTGATGAGATGAGTAAACCTTTTGATTTCAACAATTTTATCAAATCAGAATAGGCGGCCTCCAATGTATCTTTGTTTTTGGCCGTCAATAAAATATCATCCATATAATGTAAGCACCTTAGCAATGGATACTTTTGTCTGAGGGGAGCAAGGATCGCCCCAACAAACATCTGACACATTGTAGGACTGTTGGCCATGCCCTGAGGCAAAACCACCCATTCAAACCTCTGATCAGGCTCCTCATGATTACATGAAGGCAGAGTGAAAGCAAAGCGTTCAGTATCCTGAGAATGTAATGGAATAGAAAAGAAACAATCTTTAATATCTATACAAATCACTGGCCAATTTGTTGGAATTGTTGAAAGCAAAGGCAATCCTCTCTGAATAGGTCCCATGAGCTGCATTTGAGCATTAATAGCCTGTAGATCATGTAGCAACCACCACTTTCCAGATTTTTTCTTGATAACAAATATGGGTGTATTCCATGGGGAAGTGGAAGACTTAATATGTCCCAACTGTAATTGTTTCTGTACTAGGGTACGAGCCACAGTCAGTTTTTCAGAGGAGAGCGGCCACTGAGGCACCCATACTGGCTCCTCTGATTTCCAGGTGATGGGCACCTGTTCCTCAGTGGCCCCTAAGAAAAACCCAATCCAAATTTGTTAAATTTTTGTTGTGGCTCTAAGGGATATTCACGTCCTTGTAAGTTTTTTTTAATCCAAGTCCTGGTCTAAATCCCATGTCTAGCATCATCTGTTGGGCAACTACTGAGTACTTGTTGCTAAGCTGGAAACCCATGTCTTTCATTAGATCTCTCCCCCACAGGGAGATTGGGAGGTCTAGTACATATGGTTGAAAAGTGTCAGAATGTCCTTCAGAATCTTTCCATGACAAGTGCCTACAGCTGACCTGTGGGGCCTGGGCATATCCTAAACCCCTTAAAGATTGGTCTGAAAGCTGTACCGGCCACCCCTTTGACCAGTCCTTCAGAGCGATTATGCTGCGATATGCCCCAGTATCTAATAATCCTAGAATTGATTTGCCTTCTATGGTTAACTTTAAAGTAGGACGGTCATTCATATCTAAGGACAAGTAAACACAATTCCCTCCGGTGGTTCCAATCTTATCAGTTGTCCTTAAAAAAGAATCAGCAGGAAAACGGGCATGTAAACTGGGTAAAATTAACAATTGAGCAATCTGGTCCCCTGGGGAGACACAGGCTCGAACTAAGCTAGCCCAATCTGAGGGGGTCATGCAAAATCTAGTCAGTCCTTCCACCTGAGTAAGGGTGAAAGCAGCATCTATACCATAAGTACGGACGGACTCCGCCAAAGTTTTAATTATATTAAAATCCAATGGATCATGGTATCTTTCTCTATTGTTGTCTTGAAAAACCGGGTATGCTAATCCCATATCTGTATTAACTGTTCTCCAAACTTGGAAATGGAAAGTCCTCCCGGAGTTTTGGATTCCACCCACGTACGGGGGCGGAGCTACAGGAGGTGCAGGAAAAAGTGGAGCAGCCTCAGATACTGGCTCTTCTTCTAAATTCTCAACTTCCTCTTCAGAGCTGGATTTATCCCCCTCTACACGCTAGGCCTTCATACTTGGTGTCTCCCGTTTTTTCCTTTTTAAACTTATCTTACGTAATTGTTGCAACAATGTGTCAAGATCCTCAGAACTCTCCGAGTCACTTGTGTCCTTGGGTGTTTTAAATTCAGTCAAGTCTGGATAGAGCCTTCTCCTGTTTTTATTTTCAGACTCTTGTGCCTTTTCACTGCTCTTACTCTTAATACTCTCTGCCACTTCGCTATATGACCCCTCAGATCTCTCCTCGTGCAATTGTTCAAGAACGGCCTGACCCTCACTCACAGCTTCCTGGCATTTACCATCTGTGATACATCCTCTAACCAACTCCCATACTGGAATGATTCCACCTTTTAATGTCTCTTGCCCGTGAGCAAAATCTGGATCCTTTCCTAATTTGCCCCAACTGGGAATCGTAAGACTGCCGGAAAAGGCAAACCAAGAAGCAGCTATATCAGCTTCTCTTAGAAACATCTGCAAAGTGCTTTGCTTTACCTAAAGTCCTTTGGAACGTAGCAGCCCATCCAAGGCCAACAAAATTGGGCTTGAAGAGGTAGCGCCCATAATGTTCTTAAAGTTATAAAGAAAGTGAAAGTACAAAGCCCCGCTCTCTCTTTATCTACCAAAGAGCGTTCTGTTCTTATTCTTCCCGCTCCCTCTTTATCTACCGAGGAGTGTCCCACTATTTACTTGCGGATTCCCACTTTACCTGGGAACTTACCGGTGCACCACCCTGATTGCTGAAAGTTCTGGATCCTGGGTTCAAGGGGTCTCTTCCCCGTACAGGCCACCAACAGTCGCGACCCCCAGCTGGCAAAGGAAGACGTGACACAGGATTCTTCTTTCAGCAGTTTATTCAGGCCTTATCTCAGTCATGACTTCAAGCTTCTTCTCCCCCACCCGTGCCTCCCAGCCTTAATAAAGCACCCCGAGCCCCAATGCAAAGCTGCCACGTGGATCTTTCTCATAGGGTGTTATCTCAAAACACGCCAACTCTCCCTAATAAGGAGTTGTTTATTACTGACCACAGTGGCAGCCAGCGCCATATTGTAATGGTGGCTATGGTCCGCAGAAACGGCTCACCACAGAGAATGAATTCTTAAGCAAGTGGACTCTGGGAGTCTGCAGGAAAGATGTGAGCAGAACAGGCTGGCACAAGGAAGTACCAGATGGGGGTTTGGGTCATGGGGAAGTTTAACAATAGATATTTTGCCTGGACTGGTCCTATGTTTTTGTAATCTCCTAGGCAGGATCTTTGCAGAATGGGGGTTTTCCTGGACTACAGTGAAAGGGGTGTCTCCTACTATAATATGATTGATGGTTCTCACATTTTCTCTTTCCCTCCAGCTTCCTTCTCTGGAAATCTCTTTCCATACTTCATGTTTATGTATGGACATGTGTCCATGACCATCTGCTCTATGCCAAGTGAGTCTGAGGGGTTCCCTCTACCCCTTCACAATTCACCTCTTTTGGAGGAGGTCCTGAGCACCCCAACAGAGAGGATCAGCTTGGGCTGTGGTGTTGATGGTGTTCCCCCAGCGGCTGAATGTCCATTACTTCCCTGACATTCCAAGGTTTTATCTTCATAGTGTCCCTTGCTGTCTATGATCCTTTACTGTGGCTGTTCCTTTGGCTACAGACTCCTTGTGGCAAAATCCCCTGAGATGATGCTTAGGAGGCTCAGTGGGCTTTTCCTCCTGTTCTTTTTTAAGACTTCAGATGTGTGAGAGTTCTGTTCATGTCTTATATTCATCTACCAGAAGATAAAAGTTGACTGTTTTGTAACTGGTTTAGGGAATATTGAATTTAACTATGAGGAGATATATATATATATATATATATATATATATATATATATATATATGTATCAGAGAGGTGTGTCAGCACATTCATGTAGTCTCATCTACTGGGGAGGTTAAGGCTAGAGGATCACTTTAGCCCATACATTTGAGACCAGGTTGGGCACTTAGTGCTACCCTATCTAAAAAAATAAAACAAAGGGGATACCCCAATACTGGACTTGAATGTTTGTAGAGAAACCTTGAGGTTGACAATGGTCCCCTGTTCTATTTTTGCAGATTTGAACTATCATATGATAGAAGTTTATTATCTAGAAATTTCCAAGGAAATGAAAAATCTGTTAGTCCCCGTTTGTTCTCTGTGAGAAAATCAACCTATAAGGAGGAGAGATGTATTTTCTTCACAGTCTTAGAGGTTTCAGTCCATAGTCACCTGGCTTCATTGTTTCTGTGGCAGAATGTCAGTCATATCATGACAGGGAGCAGGTGGTGGAGTGAATGGTTTACCTCATGGCAGACAGAAGGAGAGAGAGAGAGAGAGAGAGAGAGAGAGAGAGAGAGAGAGAGAAAGAGAAGAGAGAAGAGAGAGAAGAGAGAAGAGAGAAGAGAGAAGAGAGGGGAGAGGGGAGAGGAGACAGGAGAGAGGAGAGAGAGACAAGGAGCTGGGACAAGACAGCCTTCAAGAACACATCCAAGTTTTCTACTTCCTTCCTGTTCCTAGTCCCCACCTCCTAAAGTTTCTACCACCTCCAAAAGGTCCACCAGCTGGGGACCAAGCTTTTAACACATGACCTTTGGAGGGTATTTCAGTTCAAACTCCAATGAATGATGGAGTTTTAAGAGTCCAACATTCTATGTAACCTGCTTCCTATTCTTGGATGAATGGGACATACCTATTTTTATATGACAGTAAATTTCTGGTACCATTGAGAATGTGTGATATGTTAATTCAGGGAATTAAGGAAAGGAATCGATCCCACCCCTCTTATAAAATTATCAGTACATATCCGATATACAAATGATTGGGTTTTATTGTGACAATTTTATACATGCATATAATGTACTTTGATCATATCCACCATTCCTGCTACCCTCTTGACTTTTCCCTTCATTCCCCTTTTGTGTCAATACTGCAACTGAAGAAAGAGAAGAAACACTAGAATAAACATAAATGAAAATGAGAATTTTCAGATGCAAGATGAATTGCAGATCATGAGCATAGGTTCAGTTAATATATTTCCTCTTAGTATTCCAAGTCTGATGTTAAGGGTGTATGGAAAACCATAGCAAACAAGAAGAAACAGGACTATTGAGGTCTTAGACCCTGCAGGAATAAAGGTGTGTTCACTCTACAGTTGTTCTAACTGGGGAGAGAAGACACAGAATGAGAATTGGAATATAGAAAGTAGATGTAACTACACAGTCCTTCTAGAAATGAGGACTGTAAAACTTTGTATATTTTCTCTTTGCTTGTGGCTTATGTGTGTATTTGTATGTATTGACCATTTGCTTCCTCTCCCTTCTTATATTTATTACTTTATACACAAATTGTTATCTTTCTGGTAACAGTATAGTCAATGAGACTGAGTGAATCTGAAGAGTGGATAATATAGAAGTGTAATGTACAGTGACTGGGAGTGCTTCTTTCCTTATGTGGGGGAACAGATGAGAACCTCTTCATTTGTCAGGTGGCTTTGTCATGATAGATTTGTTGTCTTATGGAAGTTCAAATGTTTGTAAAATGGTGTAACATGTAGGCATAGATAAATAAAGTCAAAGGTATGGACAGAGTCCATTATCATTTCATTGCATTTCTGTTGCAAACCCACTCTATGTTGGTCTTCTTTGTGTTCTTGGAACTGGACCTTGTATACACTTCTTTGCCATCTGACACAATGTGAGATTGTTGGTACAATGCACTGGAGGGCCCACTGCAATGCAAGGTATTTCTGTTTCTCTCTTTCTTTTTTATCTTTTTGTTTGGTACCAGGGATTGAACCCAAGTGTGTTTAACCATTGAGTTACATCCCCAACCTTTTTTAAAAATATATTTTTCTTTAGTTTTGGATAGATGCAATGCCTTTATTTAGCTTATTTTTAATGTGCTGTTGAGGATCTAAGACAGTGCCTCATGCATGCTTCACCACTGAGCTACAATCACAGCAACCCCAATACTTTTTAATTTTTATTTTGAGACAGTGTTTTGTTGTGTTACTCAGGGCCCGGATAAATTGCTGAGGCTAGCTTTGAAGATGTGATACTACTGCCTCAGCCTCCTAAATGCTGTGATTGCAGTCATGGGCTACCATACTAGGCTAGGGTCCAAGCTTTTAACACATGAGCCTTTGGAGGGTATTTCAATTCCAACCTCCAATGAATGATGGATTTTTAAGAGTCCAACTTTCAGTGGCGTACAGAGGGATCAAATATAGAAATGACTATATTGATATCTTTATCTGTATTTTTAGTCTCTGCCCTGGGATCCTGAAAAGTAGTTTCTATCCCTGAAAACAGCTCTTAAACCCCTTGGAATTTCCTGATGGAGATGAAAGGAGAGTCTTTTGTTATCAATAACAAGCCCTTTTCAGCCATCTGACTTTAAGTTAATAAGATAACTTTTAGAAAATCCTGGTCCCCTCAGGATGGTGGCAGATTGCCAAAGGAACAAATTTTATGAGTAGAAAGTTGAAAGAAGAGAGGAAATAGGGCTGAAGTTGAGTTAATTTAATCAGCAGTCACTGATTTAATCAATCATAATTAGCAGTGAAACCTCCATAACAGCTTTGAAGGAACTTCTGACTTGATGAACAACAATGCATCCATGTGTGTGTTGGGGTGGTGCCTCTCAAACTCCACCATGGAGACTGATACCTCTGTGCTCAACACATTTCTTGGTCTCACCCTATGTACATGTTCATCTGGCTATTCACTGTGTCCTTTACAAGATATTTTGTAATAAATTGGTTAGTAAACTAAGTTATTTCTCTTGGTTTTTGTGAGTCATTCTAGAAAATCACTCTCAAAAATCATCTAATCTGAGGATGCATCTTGGGAATGGAGGATGGGCCTTGGGAATGAGATAGAAATTTAGGGATACTAAGGAAAAAAAGTCTCTCAAGGAGAAATGTGCCTGTTGGGATGTGGAACAATAACTTGTAAACTGTTCTTGACTTGGACTAAGAAGCTAAAGGGACAGAAAGAGACCAAAATATAAAAATGCACCAAACAATTCCATAAATTACTTTATAATATTTCAGTTCCATATAAATTTTCTGGAATAGAGCAAAGCAGGAACAAGATTTCAATACAAAGACACTACTAACTTCATGAAGCTTGGTGCTAACGTTATTGAATCAATTGCCTGTCCAATCAGCTGAAAACAACACAGCAGACCAGATTCCCTAACGGAAAACCATCTTGCTGAATATTTTCCAATCTCCAAGGAAGTTCTTTCCCTTTGGATCATATATTCTACCTTTGTACCCTAATAAAATAACCTGAACTTTATCCCTGGTAGTGTGTCTCTTCTTGCTCTTGAGATTTCCCACTTTATTCTCTGAGTGTTCCTGTATCCACTTTTCACTTTCTAATGATGCTCTTCCTCTCTTTGCTAAAGCCCAAAATATCCTTAAGTCTTTTCTACAGTATGGACAAAGGTCTGAAAGGTCTAAGCAGTGGTTTTCTCTTCCACTGCAGAGACTTCATTGGACCTCCTTATAGTGACAGACACTTCAGAAATAGGTGGGTAAATTAAGGAGGCATCTTGTGTTTGTCATCTGAAGTCATGGGGGACATTCTTGCAAGAGTTTGGGGTTCACTTAACCTGTGGAGTCTCTGCTAATTCCTTAATGGAATTATAGGACACCCAGATGTATGTGGAGAATTGGAGAATAACCTGGTGTGGAAAATCCCATACATTTGCTGTTATAAGTGTTCTGTGGATTACTATGAAAGAGGACACCTGGTTAGTTGGAGCATTACAGATCCCTTTGAAACTTCCAGTGGGCCATGATCCATTTTTCCCCAATGAGTTCTGCACCTTTGTCTCATTGGGGTCCCTATTGTACATTGCTTCTTTTCTTGGCTACTATGCCTCATCTCAAGAAGTAGTATCTGCTTCCTATATATGTAACTCCTGCATTCTTCGGAAACTTCTTTTAGTAGTTAGCCACCTTTTACTAGTTAATTCTTCTTCAGGCATGAATAAATCTATGTTAAGTTTTCCCTGTTGAAATGATTTCTGTTATTTCAAAACTTCGATAGAAGCATCTAAATAACAATAACTTAATACCTTTTGAAGGAAGACACTGAATTGCTTACAGCATGCAAGAGAGTGTAATTGAGGCATTTATCAACTTACTAAAATTATTAACTACATCAATAAGGTTTTATAAATATCTTGAGTTTTTTGTGGATTTTAAGTATTTTCTACATGTAAATATGTTATTTTTCAGTTTGATGAAGGAGTGTCAGCAATAGCGGAGGAAGGAAAGGAGAAGGAGTAGGATGAAGGCAGTAGTGTTGTTCTCCTCACTCCACAATTGATGTGCCCCTATTTCCCTCTCAGTCTACTTTAGAATTATATTATCTGATTTAGAATGTGTTGACATTAATGTTAGATCATGTTGCTCATGATTTCTTGGTCATATGATTGTCACTGTATTTTGCTTGGTTCATTGCACTGCTTCATCTTCCCTCTCAACTTACTTGTTGCTAGTTGCAATATAGATTGGTTCATTGTGGTGCCAAATGGCTACATGGAATTTTTTGATCCAACAGAAATACAAAACTGAGGGCAACTGAAGTCACACATGAAAGAAGCCATGATCAAGCTTGATTTTCACTTGCTTTGTTTCTTCATGTATGTTATGGTATGATTTTAGCTTTGATAAATGACTGAAGCCAGAGAAGCTCTGGTTGGAGTTAAGATACACTACAGTAGCATACGATCAACC